TGAATGGATGAAGTGTGAATGGATGAAGTGTGAATGGATGAAGTGTGAATGGATGAAGTGTGAATGGATGAAGTGTGAATGGATGACTGTGTGAATGGATGAAGTGTGAATGGATGAAGTGTGAATGGATGACAGTGTGAATGGATGAAGTGTGAATGGATGAAGTGTAAAGAGTTCTGGACTCCACTGGGACTTGATAAAGCTGCATGTCTGGAGGCAGACAGTGGACCAGCCTCACCCAGAGAACAGATGCCTTTGTTTTTCAGGAACACGTTGGCAAAAACATCTACGTTCAGACGGATCATCTGTCCCAGATCTGTGGTCAACTCCCAGAATCCGTCCTGCAACAGACCAATAAAAACATCCATTCTAGCTTTTAAAGTAAAAACAAACCCTGCAGTCCGGTCCAAACTGGTCCCAGACCTGCAGCAGGTCTGGAATCAAAGACCTGAGTCCCATCTAAGACTCTACAGGCCTCAGTCAGGTTCTGTGTCTCACCGAGCGCTGCAGCTGGAAGATCTTTGTCCACTTCTTCTTCAGCTCTTCAGGATCTGGATCTCTGGATCTACAAGAAGATCAGTAACAATCAGTTCCCTCCAGAAAGCCTTCCTGAGCTGCAGATCAGCTTTCTGACTCACCTGGTAACAGCAGGAGGAAGATCTGCCTCGGCTGGAGGAGGTGGGGGTGGAGCAGGAACATCTTTCACGAAGCTATGTAAAGACACGGCTGAATACATCTGGGGGACAGCCGGAGGACTGGGAGGACCTTCATGGTGGGCTCTGTCAGGTTTGATATCACACGCAGCGGTAATGTTTAGAGGACGGGGACATCTTTCTAAGGAGAGCTCCATGAAACAAGGACCAGAAGGTACAGAATAATGATCTGAGTCATCGTCACGCAGCCTTTCCACCCGGTCAACAGCAGCCTGAGTGGAGACGAAAAAAAACCCTCTGAGTGGAGACAGTTCTTCATAAAACATCTTCAACCTGAGTGTCCATGCTTACTAAACATTAACAAACCTTATTTATCTTTTAGATTTAAATAAATGTGAGCCGTCACATCGAAACGAAGATAATGTCTAAAAGTTGTATATGGTTAAAAAGGTAAATATAGAGTTTTGACTAAAATGTTAACAAAAATTGCAT